GCTGGCTCATATTTAAATGGTTGTCCACTAGGACTCCAAGATCCCGTTCACAGTTACTACTGTTGAGCAAGGTACCACCTATACTGTATCTGTGCATTTCGTTTTTCTTGCCTAAAGGTAGAACCTTACTCTTCACCATTGAATTTTGTTAAATTTTGAGTTTGACACTCCTGTTCTAGAAAGTCCATTTGCCGTTTGAAAAGGCATCTTTGGGACAACAGTGATCTGGATGACTCAGAATCTCCATAGACATTTTGTGAGGTGAGTTGGGCTGAGGCAGAATGAGTGGTCCAAAGTCACCCTCTTGAACTCATAATCAAGGACTATGATAAAATAAAAGAGTGGGACTACTGGAACCAGGTAAATTAGCAAAATGAGAGAATCTACATACAGAAGGAAGACCACAATCACTATTATTTTAAAATCATATTTAATATACACATATTCTTTATATAAAACATTTTTTCAATTTTTATACATCAGAGAAAAAGCTATGTACAGGAAATGCCTGCAACGGCACCGTTGCATAAGATATAAATTGATCCGAAGAACAGAGTTGGTGTTTTGCATCTTGCCACAATATGATTTTTATTTTTTAATGGCAAGAGATACCCTGGAAAGAAAAAAGAGAGGAAGACCATTGCGGAGAAAAAAAAGTGAGGGAAATAAAGCAAAAATAGAGGTGACGGATTTGGCGTGAATTAAGCTGGCTTGGTAAATCAAAAACTTGGGCCAAATGTTGGCACTACAATATCAGAAATGGAGTTTATCCACAAAGGCACTTAGGAAATAAGATGGCCGACATTCAGCGTACCGAAAACCATTTGTCATTTGGTGCTTGGCCAGTGCAATATTGAACAATTCAACCGGTAAAACATTCAGAAAGAGAATTGGCTCAGGAGGAAAAAGAACAATTTGATCTGAAATACAAGATGGCACCTTGGAATAATTACCAGTTTCAGAAAAGTCTTTGGCTGGGGAAGGAGTCAGGAACAGGAATTCAACAACACGCCAGGTTTAATCTCTAAAAACAGTCAAGGATAAAAATATAAAGCAGAGAGAGAAGGTAGGAACAGCCCTTTAGAAAATAACCCAAGTATCTCTGAAAAGGCCAACCATGTGCTAACAGTCATCGAAGCTGAAGAAGGATAGACCGAGCAATCAAAATGATTTGGGTTCTGACTCCAGCTCGGAAGTTCACATTCAAAACATCTGGAGAACATCTGGGCACCTGGCCCAAGGCACTCTTTTCAGAGGGCATCCACTCAACATGCCAGGGAAGCAAGATTTTTCTGAGATTGTTGATGGCACCAGGAGAAGATTTGCTTCTGCATGACACGATTTAAGAAGGAGCTTTATTGTGGTTCACCACACTGCCTGTTTTGGGCCAGGAACGTAGCTATAAAAAGGTTGTATTTTACAAATGGAGCAAGTGGACAACCAAAGACTACGAAAAGAGCCCTGATTTTGACCCATCTGAAAAGACAGTTGACCAGAACGAGTGCAGGACAGCTGTGATCGGTTAAATGATCCCAGACCAAGGAAGCAGAGCGGTGGCCAAAAAAAAACATTTTTGGAAGACGGAGATCAAAAGAAGGATTCCAAAAAGAGGCCCATGGCACAGGAGAGAAATTAAATAGATCAATTATTCATAAATAGACAATCTGCACAATAAACAGCAATATGGGTGGGTTGGCAATATGGGGGAAAAAAATATGAGGAAGAGTTTCAAGTCATCTTGTGGAAGTCCACACAACATTGTGTGAAGGGGAAGGGAAGAACATTAAGTTATCTCTGATATGGATGCAAAAAAAAAATGAAGAAGAAATGATGGGGACCAATAACATAAGTTGAGGAGTTTCCTCCAGTCCCGGGTTTTCCTATTTGTCCTTGGCCTTCTTGTTTTTCTTGTTCAGGATCTTCATAAGAGACTTGGACATGTAATACGGCTTCTCCTGGGAACCATCATTGCGCTCCAGGTCTTCCACTATGGGGACAAAGAGAAGATGTTTACACCAGGTTGGCTATTAAATGTACGATACATTTCTTCTCCAACTTGAGACCCTCCAGATCCTTGATTCCTGCTGACTCCATGGACAGCTCCCTCATAGTCTCTTAGAAACGTTTTCATATAAGTACCGTATTTTTCGGAGTACAAGACGCACTTTCCCCCTCCCAAAAGAGGGTGGAAAATTTGGGTGCGTCTTATACACTGAATGCAGCCCTGCCCACCTGCTGGCCCCCACCCTTTAGCCTCCGCGCGTCCTCTCAAACGGAGCTTTCAGAGGATGAAAACATGAGCCGCAGAGGCCAAAATGGCAACCCGGAACAGCTGCTGCCTTGTCAGACCGGTTCTGCGCTTCGCCTGCGGAACTCGCTGGAGCGCCCTGGAGATGATCAGCTGCATTTTTGAAGCTGTGTATCTTCCCCAACGAGGCGTGTGCAAGTGCGCACTCACAACCACCAAACCCTGTTGTTAACGTTCACCTCTGGGAACAGCTGGGGGTATTGTATTGTTAAGGCTGGCAAATAATTTTGATCTCACAGACCCCAGAGAGGATCTTGGGGCTTCCTCAAAGTTCCTTGGACCACACTTTGTGAAACACTGCTCTTAGGGAAATGGGATCCAGAGATGTGAGGAGGGATACTCACAGAAACAGAGGAACAGCGTGTCAACACACATATTGTAGACACTGAAGAATCCTTGGGCGATGAGGTAGGAACCTACAACCACAGTCTGAAGCAAAAGAAAAGAGAGGCAAGAAATGAGGGAGAAGTGAAAGATGGTGAGATTTCAGTTTTAGAATACTGTGGGATGCAATTTACTTTATGATATTCCTATCACCCATGTGTCAACGCTGAAGTGAACCATGTTCTTAAAAGATGCAATTGGTGGTTCANCACCATGTTGGGGCTGAATTTTCATAGCTGTGCTCTTTCTTGATCATACCCAGCTATTTTTATTTCTCTAACCCGCCACTCGGAATCTCATTTCTTTGCCATGTAAATGTGGATTGTACTGAGTGCTTCCTTTCTGCGCACTTTTTTTTAAAAAAAAACACACCCCAAAAACAAATGAAGAGATGAATAATTTCTGGAGCATAATATATCTTCAACATCTGACTGATTTATTCCATACAGTATTTGAGCATATTGCGCACCAAGTCAACTCTGCAACTTGCATTTAGCAACAGCTGGTTTTTCCTTTCCTGGAGCAGATGGTGCGTTGAATGTTCCGTGACATAATTCACATTTGCGTTATCAGTCACAAATGCTAATGTGTTGGAGGCAACTGCATTTTTTGTGTTGAGCTAAGATATATTTAGTAGCCACAGCACTTTTTAGCATCTTCCCCAAAACTGTTGTGTTAGTTCAGTCAGTAAAAGTCAACTTTTCCTCCAGTTGGGTGGATAACACTAGCGTCTCTCTTTCTATAAGAAAAGAACATATTTATTCACCATCCATTTTTAATCATTCTTTACACTGATTAAGAGGTTGGTGTTCCTTGACTATTTCAGTAATTTAGATCTGATGCAGCACTAACTTCTAAAAACATTTCTCTGAGAAAAAGCTGTGGCATGGTGCTAATTTATTTCTTCAGTTTACATGCATAAACTACATAATAGCTGACCATATGGTATGAAGCAAAACGTATAAAAAAAATGTCACATCTAGTTTGAACTCTGGGGTGATTTGAACGCAGAATACTCATCTTGGTCTGGATCCTACCTAACTGTCCATTCATTTAGCCGTTCTAAGAATTAGGAAGTCAATATATGCTTTTTTTGGGGAAATTTAAATGTTTCACGTATTTATTTTCAAGAGAAATGTGTGATTTGCCCAAAATAGAATCTTGTCAAGGCACAGCTAATTTTCATTAGTATCCACTTCAAAATGTTTCTTGGCTCGAAATGAGGTCTGTGGGGAAATTGTACATGAAAAACATATATTGGAAAGAATACAAAATATGCATATTTGAAGACGCTGCATACACAAAATGCATATTTGCCAGAGGAATATATAAATATATATAAAAAGGACAGATTTGAGAGAGTGAAGTAAATGTATTTTAGGAGATATTGCAAAAAAACACGCATATATTAGGAAAAGATGTATACAAAACGTGTTTAGTGGGAAAACGACACAAGACAGCAATTTCAGATTGCATTTGTGTGTTTATTTTAGTAATTTATAAAATAACTTGCTGCATTTACTAATACTTGAATGGATCTCCTGGTAATCAAGATTAGATTTTGACCGATACCATGTCGTCTCTGTTCTATAGTCAGTTTACTCAAATCAAACTTTTTCAGATCTTAAGGCCAGGGCTGCCCAGCATTCAATCATATCCTGTTTTCAATGAAATAAGCTGAAGGCAAAAAAAAAAAAAAGAAGAAGAAGAAAAGAAAAGAAGAAGAAGAAAAGAAAAGAAGAAGAA